GGGGGGGGGGGGGTAAATAGCTGGCACAACACTTCTTCAACATCAGCGTGCCGCAATACAAAGCCATACACACACTGTGGAGAGTGTGTTATGGCAGCAGCTACACACGAGAGAAGGTTAACATAAGTCGTATTTTTCATCACCACTTCAGGACACCCTTCACCACTTCAGGATGCAGCCTGCCTAAATAGGTGGTTTTCAGGGTCTTCGGACGTTTCACCACTTCAGGACCATTCAGGTATGAAAATCATGAATGGTCCTGAAGTGGTGAAAGTTCCGMAGACCCTGAAAACCACCTGTTTAGGCAGGCTGCATCCTCAAGTGGTGAAGGGTGGTTTTTATGGTCTTCGGACCTTTCACCACTTCAGGACCATTCAGGATTTCCAGACTGCCCAAAACTCTCACTTGACCACATCAGGACACCCTTCACCACTTCAGGATGCAGCCTGCCCAAACAGGTGGTTTTCAGGGTCTTTGAACCTTTCACCACTTTCAGACCATTCAGGATTTTCAGACAGCTTAAAACTCTCACTTCATATTTTCATTCCTGAATTTTCAGCTACTCGATAACCGCTTGTGCTACACACGTGCATGACTAGCAGTTGTCCAGGCTCAAACCCTGACAGCAACATGCATCCCGGATCTTGATAATAAATAATCTGGGAGCGGGGCGGGGATGGGCAGCGAGGCAGCGTGGGCACGTGGCGCGTGCGTGTGCGGCGGCCTTGACCTTGCCACTTACGCACGCGCATGGTAATCACTGTCTCTCTTTTCTCGCCACGTGTCACTTCTACCCTGCTGCGCTTTTCGTAACGTTTTTCCATTGGAAACGACCGAAAAACAGCCAAAAAAAACAGTGTCGGATTTTGTTGTGTTTCCTGCTATGCAGTGTGGTGGGTGGGAGTGAGGAACGTTCCCGCTCTGATACCAGTATGGCGGACCCACCGGGTGAGGTGCTCCGCCTGGGATAAAGATGGAGATGGAGGATGAGGGTGGAGCAAAATGGCACAGCGCAGCTCCCACGTGAGTTCCAACGCACGTACTCCAAACTGTGCGAGTGTAGAAGGATCCGAATTACAGACTCTGGCTGGGGTATACTCCAGCAGACTGACTGGACTGGACTGGATTAGCGGGTACTGACAGAGGTACCGGCCTGGAGTGGACTACCCTGAATACAACACAGGTCTATGAGAACAGGCCAAGGGGCTGGTCTTACAGACCAACCAGAGGTCCGCTACACTTCGTCATTTTTTTTTCCCCTCGGTCCCTTTACCACCAAGTCATCGATATACGACTGAGTGATATGCGGGTTAATTGTCTGCATGGTTCGAATCATATGTCGTTGAACCATTGTCATCGCATTAGTCCATCCTTGTGGCTCCACATTCATGTGGATCAGGCCCCTGGGCGTATGCATCGTTGTCACCGGTTTGTCCGGCGGATAGATCGAAATTGGTCATACCCAGAGTAGAGGTCTATAAGCAAAATTATAGGCCTCCCTGCGCACGACTCCGACAATGCGTCTGCATTCGGTAAGCCCCCCGCATCTCGCAAAATCATGACATTCAATCGCTGCAAATCCTGCACCCATCGCAACGTTCCGTTAGGTTTAACAAAACAAAACCATGGGGATGTGTACGACCCACTTGAGTACTTGGAGATGTGCATTCGTATCTTGTCGTCGAGATAATCGACCACCTTTTTCTCCTCGTCAGGATTAGGAGATCGCGCCCCTCTCAAATTTCATGACTCATGCGGCACGGTATGGATTTGAATCATAAGAATCTTATCAACATTTAATCTCCCGCGTTGATCGTTATTGAATGCATAGGCGTGATACCTCTTCTTCATCAACTCTATCATTAGCACTCTTTCCTGGGGTGGCAGAAATCCAGGCTCCTCTATTATCAATTTTCCCTCGTTCCCTTCATTGATACATCACGACTCTACTGCCGCCTGCTCCCTCATTCACCGTATCAATCATCGCTCCCCCTCGCAATAATCCTCATCTTCTGTGACGAGAACGGGAATTGGGCGGCACTTCTTATCTATGGTCTTGTACCGCCTTTGGGAACCCTACTAGAGTCGTCCCCTGAAAAAGAGCGGCTTACCGTTTGTGCTTGCATCATTGCAAGGTCTCTTTTTCCACCCGGAAGCCGATAGACCAGCTCTACTTCCCCAACTTGGGGACATTCCAAGATTTGCTTCCTCAATGCCTTAATAGCGTATGAATCCGCCATCTCATGGGTGACCACTATGTCCATGGCCTTATTCACATCAGATAAGTTGGGTGAAAATACTTCCTCCCTTGCCTCCTCCTGGGGTTCCTCAAGGAGCTTCCGACGTTCATTCTCAGGCTCCTCGATCGTGAATGAATCAGGGTTAGTCCAGTTCCTTATACTCCGTGGTCCCGTGTTCCGGCCGGTAACTATCTCATAGTTCCCACACGCCGGGTCGCACAAGATTAGGATCATAGTTTCGTCGTGTTTGTTAAACATCAACGTCTCTGTCCTGCACAAGAACGACCTCCCTAGAAGGATGGCATGATTTACGTCAGGCATAACGAAGAAACAAACCCTGGTCTTCACTCTTCCAATTTCGATAAGCACATTCGATGTCGTTCCACAGAACACCGCCTTGCAATTGGCTCCATGCAAGATGCCGCAATCCGAGCAATCTATCTTTAGGCCAAATCTGAGTGCATTAGCCTCCTTGATGATGTTCATTTTCGCCCCTGTATCCACCATCACTGCGCACTTTGACCCTTTTACTACCAAATTCACCATCCTGCATGCCACACACTTTCAGTCCATCTTCGTCTCAGTTTTCGCTCATTCTGCCTCCTTTGGCAGAATCAATCTTAGATGCACACTTGGCACCAGCCACCGCGAAAACCTCCCTTTTAGCACATCGCGAAGCTTAGGAGCAGACGCCATGATCTCCTTCAGGGTCATAAGGTCATTATGACCCTCAAGCAACCTGTCAATCACGTTCTCCACGTCGAACCCTTCCTCCAACCGGACCGCATACTTCTTTTTCTTTGGCGCTGCATCACGCAGAATCAGCTCAACTTCCTTCAAGGCTCCCCTCTTCTTGGCCCTCTGCTTCGTTCTTCGATCCTCCTCTTGGCGCAGCCTATCATCTTGCTCATCTTCATGGTCGTCCTCTTCTACCTCCACAGTCTCTTTCCTTCGTTCCGACTCTGGCAGTCTGGCCCCTGGTTTGTGCCGCTTGCGCCATTCTCCCTTGCGCTGTAGGGGGCCTAAAGGTCATTCCAGACCTCGGGCCTGACCCCAAAGTGGCTACTCCAGGGCATCATTGTCGTCCCGGTACTGACTCTGGGCCAGATTCATAGAGGAAGACTTTGGGGATGCTGGCTCACCATCCCTTCACCTCTTCACATATATCTACTAGCTTTTGCTGGTATCTCCTCACTTTCTCCCACAAGTCTTCCATCTTTCCCAGAAGGGCTGACGCTGGCTCCACTTCCTCATTCACATCCTCCACATCCGACTCGACAACTATAGGCTCTTCTTTTATAGTCTCTGCCTGTAGCGTCTGAGTCACCTCTTCATCACACTCCACCTCCTCCACCCTTATTGGTGGGTCCTCCTTTTCTTGCCACAGCCTGAACGTGGTTGGTACTGCCTGTCGCGCGGCTACCCGTCTAAGGGTCTTTGCCCTCACTCCACCTAGTATCTTTGGGTCCATGTCCACTCCATACTAATCATATATATTATCGTCCATGTTGGAATAGATCAGTCCGGACTTCTCATCATGCCGTCTTGTATTGCAGAATCATAGTGTATGACCTTGCTTATCACAATGTCGGCAAATAGCGGTCCTCCAATCAAAATGAGGTCTCCCATACCCTTGACCCCCTTGATTCCCTTGACCTTGGTTGCCCCATTGTCCACCTCGGCCACCGCCATTCCTACCACGTCCCCTTCCGCCGCCTCTTCCTCCATTCCCCTAGTTGCCCTGGCCGTGATTCCCTCCTCCATCCACGCTACCTTGTGAACTTGGCGGGGGCGATGGAGGTGGCACCATTAGCTGGGTCTGCATCGCAGGATAACTTAGTGGCGGCATACTTGCTTGTGGCCCTTCATAAGGTACCATCTGTCCGGACGGAGCTGGACCGCCCCAGGGCACGAAGGTGTTAAACACAGGTCATGGCCATTGCCCATATGGTGGTACCCCTGCTTGTGTGGGTCCCGCGTTACTAGACGGAGCCGCCATACTAGGCGAGGCCACTGCCAATGCTTGGGGTGCCTGCCCCTTTCCAGAGCATTGCCCTCCCTGCGCCAAAATGCGTTGTTTGTGTTGCGCCTTCAGAAGGTGCTGGGGCACTGAATCCTCTTTTTCCCATTGTTCTTGGATGGCCTCCTCTACCACTGGCTCTTTCCCCTTTCCTTGGATCCTAGTTACCACTTTGTTTTGTACCACGGCATCTCTCCCATAACCCAATTCCGTGAGTACGTCCGTAACTATCCTTTTTACTCCTGGGGTCCCTAAGGAGGTCGCATCGCGCTCCTTCCTTTTCCACTTTTTTTGGCGCATCTAGTATGCCCCACCTGGTCCAAACTTCCTTCTTCCACACCCTTGTCAATTGTGGCCCAGGTGAGTTTCGCACTACCTCCTCCATGACTCATTAGCTCCAAGGCTTCCGAGGCGTTAAACAATCCCAAAAAGATAGCACATTGTGCTTCCTCCGAGATTCCGGGGACCTTCCTTGCCTTCTTCTTGAATTCTTGCACAAGGGTCCCGACAGTTGTGAAATCATTTTTGTTCATTGCCTCCAGGTCTGCCGTGGTTAATAAGCCATCACCCGGCCGGTACTTCCTCTACATGCCATCCTTAAAGCTCGCCCAAATTATGAATTTCTCTACTTCCTGGTGGTGCCCATGGACCACGTACTTCAGAATGCGTTGAAACTTTACTGCATCTGACAACCCCACCAATGCCTGTTCAACCAGTTCTAACCATTCCGAGACTCGCTCCTCGTTGAAATGGCAGGTGTTGACTTTGGGGACATTGCTTTGCGCCCTCTCTCGCCTGTCCATAGCCTCGATCAGATCATCGATCGTCAAGAGCTTCCCGACACCATCTGCTATGCTTCCCGACATTTTGGCCGAATTTCTCGCTCAATTTCCCTGTTATAAGAAGAAATAACAACTTCATTCAATTAACCTGACTTATCACAACTCCTGTCCAGTTTCCTACATAGTTATCTCGCGATCCAGACCTAACAGACACTACCACATTCTCTCTTTTGAACCTACCTTTAGTAGAGTCTGCTTCCACTTATAAGACTTCCCTCACAGTCTCTTAAGTCAGGCAGTCAATCGGATCAAACATAAGGACTATTATATTAATAGCACTCGCTTAACATAGATAATATTTTCATCCCTTAGACAAGGCATCTTGTACTTCGCCTCATGAGTTTATTAAACTTTCCTCACATGCCTAGTTTTTTCTCAATCCCATACCCGGATGTTGTTCCACCAGGGACAACAATAGGCATTTGTCATCCCCGGCAACGGCGCCACCTGTCGAGCGCATCAGTCCCGCACAGTGCGGGACCCTCCCGCGTCACGCAGGAATTGGTCTCATCCTCATCGCGATACACATGGAGCTTCCGCAAGCCGCTCCAGCCGAGTGCACCAGCCATACCTCTCGTGAGCCCTTATGACAAGAAAGGGCGAACGCGAGGTACAACTTACCTCCACCTTACGGGAGTTGTCACCTCCCTTTGGTGGGCGTATCCCCACCGAGCTACCAGTCCATAGTACGAAAGTTAATCAGTTGCAGTTGCAGAGGTGGACCAGCCGAGGGCGTTTCTCGTTCGTTGTAGCATAGAGGGTACGCACGGTCTCACGCCTCTATCGGACTCTCACACGAACCGACGCACTGGGGGGCTGAAGTCTCAAGCGAGACTCGTCGTCGGTCGACTAGGACGCGTCCCACTTATCACGCGTTACACCACAACACTCACACATACAGAACGACACTGATCAAACAACGCGACAACACTCCTAGTCCCTTTTGTATCCATCCCATAATCTTCCGACGCAGAAATTGGATAGACGATGCACAAGAGACTTAGTATAAGAATCCGCGCGGACGTTTGGTCTTCTCATATCGACTAACAATGCATGACTACGCAAGCAGTCGCAATGATAGCGTACTATGTAGTGCCCATAATCAAGCGGTCCCTCGTGGATCCGAGTAGCGCTTATGACACTCAAGTGTCAAACTCGAAGTATTCTGAAGGTTAACCCCTTCACGATATTGCACGGCTGAAAGAACAGTCGTTCACCCCCTGCGACACCTTTGGCCCTTAGGCTGAGTGTCCCGGTGGGCAGGGCAAATAAGCTCTGCGCGGGGGTGATCTCTTTTACGCAGAGTCTAGGATCTGGGATGTCCTGGACAAGGACCTCGAGTCAAGGCCCATAACCAACGTCCGACTAAGAAATTTTTAAGAAGCAAACAACAGTAAAGGACGAGAGTTTTCCTTCCTCTCTCTACCTCGACCCCAAATAAACCCTTAAGCGTGGGCCCCTTAGGCCACGCGAAACACCCAAACATAGGTATGTACGTATATATGTAGTGGGGAATAAGTATGTGACGATCACTTCTCACAATCACAGTGAGACTCCTCTTAGCCATATATATGTGTGTGATCGCAGGTGGTCAATTCCAAAGTCCGCACCACAAAACATACCTGCAATCACATCAAAGAATCAACAGAGGTCCACGGGGTCAACTTCAAACACTCTCTATACTCATACCCATTGCCTTAGTCATGCAAGCCCCAACCTTTGTCCAACCTTCCAAAATTAAATACTCAGCACCTTCGTTAAATGGTCATTCAATAAAAGTTTAGATGAAAACCTTAACAAAATAATATAAACCACCAGGGCTAAAAGCTTTTAGGTTGGGTATTCAGAATGAATTGTAGTTGAGTCGTGGATCGACGAATCGGTGACCGACCTGTTATCAGTGACAATAGAAGATAATCCTTGTAGGATCGAACTGAAACTAGTCTGAATCTGGAATCAAGCGATCACAATGACTTGTAACACAAGACAGGTCAATCCCCAGGCTAAATCCATAAGTCTATGGAGAATAATTTCCATATCACGATCTCACTCAGAATCGTCCTAATTAACTAAGCCTGAATCTACCCCTAAGTAAGTGTTCAAAGAAAGGTAGACCCTGACAGAATCTTCTCTGTACAGAGTGGATCGTCAGAATCGCCAACTAACAAAATATAATTTATCTCCTCTAAACTAAGAAAATTTTGGCAACGCTTCCCATAGAAAAAGTACATTCTTAGAATTTATATTAACTTGAATATGGAAACTGGAATAATCTCTATCTCTAGAAAATTAAATTTTGTTTAGCTCCCTGAATTAATAAAAATTTGGGCAGCACTCCCTTTAGAAAAGCGGACTTCCCATATTTATACCGAGTCGGATATGAACTTAAAAAGAAAGACTTGAGTTCAAACAACACAAAATTTAACTAACTCCTTTGGATTTGTAGAAATTTCGGCAGCGCTCCCTTTAGAAGAGATTATTCAAAGGGAGCGCTGCCGAAATTTCTACAAATCCAACCTAAAGTCAATCTCACATAGTCTTTCAATGATTTATGATTTTATACTCAGTTTACATAAGGCATAAAGTTAGACCACCCAAACTTATGGAACAATATTTAGCTCAGTCATTGAGTATATACAAACAGAGTGCACTACAACTTCTCTTTTTCTTTGGCATATGACTAGGTTGTCCATCCTAATCGCCCTGAACTGTTTAAGTATCCAAGTTATATATAATTATATGCACTTAATCTTTTAAGGTAGCATATGACTTAAACGATCAACTTAGCTCGAGGTTCAGCCTGCCCCTTCTTACCACAAATTTATTCTTAATTAATATTATCTTCAGTTTGTGATAAAGCATAGTCATACCACCCACACTTATGAGAGAGTGTCTAACTAGCTTGTTCATAGATAAAGTAGTAGTGAAATATAGCCAAATTATAACATTTTGGTTCCAACATGTGCGTGGCATTGGACCAAGACCACCCAAATTTATGGAACATGTCTGGTCCTCCGCCTGATTTATTTTCTCGTCAGGAAGAGGTTGAGTCACCCGAACTTATGGAACATGCTCATACCTCCTCGTTCAAAACCAAAAGAAACAGAGAAAACCCAAAATAAGCAAGGCAACTAAGCCACTCAAACTTATGGGATAATGCTTCAAGTTGGTCCTTAAAAAGTCATCCTCAGACAACTCTCGCAAGTCAGAGCAATCAGACCATCCAAACTTATGGAACATGTCTGGTTCTCCAGGCAAGTCAAAGATAAACATAACACTGGGTCTCTCGAAGCTTATGGAGACTTGCCCAGCCTTTGATGGACCCAGTCAGACACAAGCAATATTGCCTTCCTCCCATCTTTCCCCCAGAAACAATCCCACAATCTCCTTTCAATCAGACAACAAAGTTGAAACTGTAGTTAAATCAATATCATGTCCTGAAAGTCAAACTAAAAGTCAACGTATTGGTGCACACAATATACTAAGTCAAAACGTAACAAGGAATACAGATCGGGGTTATAACTAGGTTTGTAGAATAAAAGTGAAAGTTTTACCTAACAGGGTTTATATAATAAAAATGGAAGTTTTACCTCCTAGTTCCCTGCCTCCAGAACTACTCCTGAGATTTGGTAGAGCTCCCGCAATCGGTGGGTTGACTCCCCACAGAGTCTTGTTGCGGTCCTACGGGTTGCAATCCCACCTGCCGCCTTCCTCTCACAACAGGAATAGACTTAGAGTAAGAATGGTAGAATGAGAGGTTTCAGACGCTCGAGATACAAGAGGGGGACAAACTCAACTCCTAGGAGAGGGCCTTGAAACCTTCGTTCGCCTGAGAGCCCCGCAATGGTGGCCAGAACGCAGTCGTTAGTCAAACCGAAGTCAAACTGCCGAGATAGCCCCTCCTTCCGAACCTCCAAGTCTTTTAGTCTTTACTACTACGCTTTCTCCCTTGATGTTGTGCCAGGCCAACCTCTCGACAGGATTCCCTTAGTATCGTATAGGCACAATCAACCAGTTAGCTTCGA